AAAATATCTACCAAGTTTCAATAGTCTTTACTGCACCGTTTTAAAGAAATAAAATAGAATAAAATATAACTTGAGATATTCGTGCTGTCGGCACGAATTTTTTAGTTTTGAAAATATTTGACGTTATTAAGAATTGAAATTAGAGTATTTTCACTATCAAAAGTTTGGGCTCATAAGTGAAAAAATCGCAAATAATTCGGGAAAAAACATTTGTAAAGTGAAAAATACCTTTGTAGGAGTACAAATAAGACTCCAACTATCGTTCAAGTTTCTTACATCTAGATTTACTATGCGTTAAGAGTAGATATTTAAGTATTTCCAATTTCATGCACTTTTGTCTAAGATTGTACGTCCAATACATCCTTAAACAACATGTCTCGTAAAACTAAGCTTAATGCAAAGAGAAAGATAAAAGAATTTGTGTTATTGGAGGGAAATAGAATTTTAAAGGTTGATTTAATTGGAAAGAATTCGCGGAGCAAATGGAACATGATATTTCTCCGATGAATCTGATAGATCCCCGGACTCCATGAAGTTCGAGTCCTCCCGCGGGCTTCTCGATCACGATTCCGTGCGATAAATCCTCATAGATTTCGGACAGCCCGAGTCGAAAAGTTGCCGAATCAAGATTATCGAGTTGGCGCCGGACGTGTTTCGAGCGAAATGCAATCTCCAGGGATTTTCCTCAAGGCCTGGCGACGCGCGACGAAGATAAAGCACCGGAAGACGATAAAAAAGCTATCGCTCGTATGCCAGCGGAAACCGTGTTCCCGCCCTCGGCTTCGACAAGTGCAGCCCCAAATGGAAGGATGAATCCCAGTTCCATTTACGTCCTCGCCGCGCTTAATGGCGCAAACCCAAGTAATTTTCTTCTTTTGTCGGGATCCACCTCGCGCAGCTTCACAACGCTCGCGTATTGTGATTATCGTGTGAGGCGGTGCGTGAAGCCTTGAAGTACGTAAAACCGCGTAAACTCCGCGTATTATTCCGCCGTAGAGACGTGGTTCGCGGTGTTTACTCTCGAGATCTTTCTAATTGTTTCGGAAACTTCCCCGCGGACTTCCTTAACTCGTTGCGCGCGAGTTACGTATACACGTGCATGTGCGTCTCACATACGTGGGTGAAGATGAAGTGCTCTTCGATGATATTGCTGCTATTCGCTTTCTTTGGCCAGTGCATCGTTTGCTCTTCGCAGAGTAAGCAGAAATCATGGAAATAACGTATTTTCGATAACGAAAGATTGGAATGAAGTTTGAAATTGCACGGAGCAACCGCGACGTGCAATCAGCTCAATACTTCCCTGTAATATCAATAGCTATTTCAATAGTTATTTCTTCGCGACGGTCACAAATGTCTACGGAGGAATTGACTTTATTGCAGGATAACTATTGTCAAGCCCGAGATTAAAGTGTCATTGCTCTTATTCGTAGGACAAATTCGAGAAAACTTTAACTTAAAAGCAAATGCGCACACGTTCAACGAATGACGCATTAAACAATTACGTTAATATAATTTAATTACATCATTGTATCATTAATTACATTGCGACGTTTCTGCTCAAATATTCATGAGACAGTGTTATAAATAGATCTGTTCCACTTGCAATTACTCCTATGAACTTGAATAGAAATCGAATCGGTTCATAAATTGACGCATTTCGCAATAATCATTCCTTTTCAGTTGTCCGATGTACCACGGTGCGAGTGAATAACGGAAGAAGTCGCGTTCGGGGTCGAGGTAGAATCATAAGGTACAATTGTTTCGACGGATTCACTCTCGTGGGCAACAAATATTCCACGTGCGTACGCGGCCAATGGGACACACCTATTCCCGTGTGTGTTAGTAAGTAAAATTTAATGTGAGAACAGTTGGAAAACTTGTACTAATCAGAAAATGCTGACGGATCTTGTACACGCGACGTCCGGCCTGTATCTTTATATTATTTCTCTCCGGACAATTTAATCTCCAGTAATTTAATATTTAGAAGTGCAGGAATAGCAAGTTTTCCTAACAAACTATCTGGTAATCGATTTATAGCTTCGAGGAAGAAGTAGAGTCTTAACGAAGGTATTCTCTTTGCTCGTCGATTGTTCGCCAGCTAAAAATGATGCTCTAATTATTTAAATCGAATTGTATGTAAAATAATATTGGGGTATAATAAAATGCGTGTGTAGAGCAATATATGATAATGAAAAGATGCAACAAAATGATCGCGCCGCAATGGCACGCGTTGTCAATCAGTTTTCATCAGATTCAATACAGGAAGAAACTTTCGGTGTGACAAGGCAAATTAACAACGACGACGTCTGTAAATGTTTAAATAGGATAACATGTGCGTAGATTCTACTTATCTTTCTGTCATTTAGAATCGGGATGTCCCGCACCACCTGCGCAGGAGCACTTAATGGTAGCATCAAAATTAAGCGGTGCAATATTAATGTTCTTTTGCGAACCTGGCTACTCCCTGACCGGCAGTGCTGAAATTTATTGCGACGGACGCCAATGGAATGGAACGATTCCTTATTGTAAAAGTATTGCGATAAAGAACTTTATTTCGTTATTAATGCTTCGCCCGCTTGTCGCCATACATTTGGCAATTAAACATGTGCAATTACAGGGCATGCATATTTGGAGACGAAACTTATTTTCAGTAGCACAAAAAAATAATTATTTCTCGCTACTGTAAAGCTTAATTAATTATGTCACGCTTACTCAATTTGCTCTGTAAAAGTCAATCAGTGGATTATCACTGAAAATAGTGAACATTCACCGATTTACAGGTATAAGTGTAGCACTGAATTATTCTTATAATTGTTATACACTTACAATTGTTTTCTGTGATAATGCACTGAGTGACTTTTAGAGAGTGCAATAACATTTAATCTTACATAATGGTACGCCATGCTTCTTTTTCTTCTCTTTTTCTCTCCAGCCTTTTTCTTTCTCAACTTTAATTGGAGTTTTATTTTAATTTATTATTTTAACTATATAATTTTTATGTCGTTTGTACGTCGCAAGTCGTAGGGTCGGAGCACAAAGCAACGTAATATTGTAATTTACGACATAGACGCAAGCGTAAACGCAGATAGCGCACAAGCTTTGGCGTATGTCGTACTTACCTCCAGTTACATATGACGTTACACTTACGCCAAAGCTTGTGCGCCATCTACGTTTACGCTTACGTCTTTGTCGTAAGCTATCACGTTGTGCTTTGTGCTCTGACCCTTACTCACGCAACGTCTTTTGTAATATTTATGGTAAGACACGAACGTGACCGCGCCGACAAAATGCGACTTTGAAAGTTCGGATCTTTGCTGGTGGGAACAAGATCCGCAGCACGATTTTGATTGGAAACGTCATAACTTCGAGACACCGAGTTTACACATCGGTACCGGTCCGACGCACGATCATACTCTAGGAATCGGAAATGACGGTACGTGTATCGTCGCGTGACTTCAGCGTTTCTGAAAAGCGTTAGATTGGTAGAAGAAAGGAACAAAGCCGTTGATTTTCAAACTGCGCACGCTCACTGATTTCAGGACATTATCTTTATATCGAGGCATCCGGACGATTGGAGAATGATACGGCGAGAATCATATCTCCTTTATACAATTCCTCATTGACCGAATCAGGATGTTTCTCATTCTGGTAAGTAGTGTGATATAAAATATAATATCGCACAAATTTTTGTAAATTCTCGTACAACTCTAATTCGTCGTCTCATTTCACCTTTTTTACAACGCACGTCAAATTTCTCCTCGAAACATATTTCTATACAAGTTTAACAATGTCCATTAACAAATTTATTGAAGTGAAATTAAAATAAAATAAAATATTATATTTAGAAAGAAAAATACAGACACGTCAGTTGTGAAAATTTCAACATTTAACTTGTATCATATTAAAATAAAGATCTCGTAAGTATAATGCACGAGTTCATACGAAGCTATTTCTTTTGTTGATATTTTATGAATTGTTTCGATAGGTATCATATGTACGGTGCCACGATCGGCTCATTGAACATATATTTCAAACAAGAAGATGCTGCGCCGCGATTGATATTCACCAAAAGTGGAGAACAAGGAAATCAATGGTTCCATGGTATTGCCAATCTACCGAAAGCTAATGCCAGTTTTCAGGTACGTGGTCTTAAATCTTACTTTTCAAATAATCACGCTGACTTTTTCATTACGGAACATTGTTGTTAATATTACATTGCCATTAAAATATGTTACATGAAACTAAAAATTCCTTTCAAAGCTTTTATATGTTTCGTTCAATTATTTTTCAATTTTCGTTCAATCATTCGATTATTTTCTTAATAGATAATTACAATTCTAGTTCTCGAATTAAAAAATAATTTTTAATAGATTACTATAGAAGGAGTGCGAGGTCCCAATTACCTGAGCGATATCGCAATAGATGACGTCGCTATTTTACAAGGGGAAGAATGCATTGTTAAAAATGAATCTACTAGCGTAACCGTAGGCGATGATGGTAAGTTTTTAAATCAATTTCCATTCAAAGTACATCCGCAAACACATGGTAGAGTAATGATAACATTCGACATATAAATTTATTTGGCAAAATTATAAAATATATCAGCGAGATATAACGTGTATAAATTAAATATAAAAAAAATGAATAAATTTCATGTGCGATATGTGGAATATATTTCGGTTGAAATATTATGTAACTTTAAGCGCAAAAATATTGCAATTTTATTTCAACGATTACCTCGCAGCAAAAGTGTAGGTAAAATATTTGAAATATTTATAAAATATCTGAACAAATTTTGCGAATATTCTTTCTGGTAGTGTGATGTTAATTTCAATTAATATTAACTTCTCTGCACAGAGATTGATACATAGAAATTCCATATATACATATATATAGAAATTAACAATGAATAGAAATTAATTTCTATATGTAAAAATTAATATCATATTTTCTCCGAAAAATTTTTTATGTATGAAGAAATTGACTTCACAAATTTCTATTCTGAAAAAAAAATCTGTTTTAGATCAAGTCGAAGTAGTTAACGCGCAACAAACCTGTCGGGACAGATGCGTTTCGTGGGAAAGCGTTGTCCCCATGCCCCCGCGTCCGAAGAGCCTCAAATCCGAAGAATTCGGGCCGGAGAGTTGCCATTGCACGATCGATTGTGTGGAACGCTCTATTTGCTGCCCAGATTACGCTGAATATTGTATACTAGGTAGCTGTTTACTATTTTAAACCTATTAAAAACCTCAATGGGATATTTTGATAGGATGCTTGTATTGGGATCTATCAATCCGTCAATTGAGTTATACAATCATGATAGCGATGGATCCCTTCAGCTCGCGATATGTTATTCAATTTTACGTGCAGGCTTCTCGATTAAGAATTTTAATTATGATTGTAGGATACAGCACAGCACTCGACAGTGTCACGGGGTCACCGAGTAAAACCACAACGCCGAAGTATTCCGCTCTGACTGGATTTCCTATAAATCCGAAGGATAACATCGATCCAGGTATGTCCAACTCGACGACGTCGACGACGATGCGAAGGTCCACGATCACGACCACAACGGCCAAAGTCCAAACCAAGAAACCCTCGCCGAGGACAACGCCTGCGAGGACAACGCCTGCGAAGCCAACGCAGCAAGTGGAAACGAAGGAAACGCCTTTCTTATCCGAGATAACTTCGACGAAACACATAGAACTTCAGGATCGACCTGGTATGTCTGTTTCGTTGTTTCATTACTCACAGAGAAAGTAAGAAAGATTATCTGATATCAAATTACAATGGGACCATGCGGCCTACTTTAAACTATGCCTTGAAAAGGATCTCGAAAGTGAATTGAAAAGTTAAAGTATACAGACTTACCAATTTCGGGAAATTGTGTTATAGACTTATAGTGCATTTATACCTGCATCTGCTAATATCGATTGACTCTTCTTTCTAATTATGTGCGGTATTATTGGCTGATAATTGAATGCGAAAAAATGCAAAATTTTAACACAAACGGTATGTTTGGAGACAAGTCAATTTAATATTTCAAAAAGTTTACTCACACACTATGCGAATCATATTTAAATCTGATTAGTTTAATGATTAAGAATATAATTTAAAATGTCGGTAGTTTAACAATAGATTTTTATTGCTAGGATCGTACTGGCTGTTGTTACTGACAATGAGGAAAATTTTCAGATATACACAACGTGGAACAGAATCCGGAAAAGGTGAAACAAGGTAGAGGCATTGAAACACTGGAGATCGTCGCCGCAGTGGGTGCAACTTTGGTCGTACTCTCCGTAGCACTTGCGATAGTAATTATCGTCATTAGAAGGAGGAAAACTTACAAGAGAGGAGCGAGCGGATCGGCGCTCTCGGAGGACAGCGATGTCCGTTTTTTGACATCGGACGAAATCCTTGATTTTAATTTAGCCCGACCTACTGATAACGACGAAATGTAGCCCTACGTTATTAAATCCTCCTTTAAACAAGTTTAAATTAAATGGATCCTTTGATTAAATAATTTTGTTGACAAATTGATTAAGCAAATTGGTAGAAAACGAGTGGAACATAAAATCGCAGCTGTATTTTATTTTTATTTATCATTATCGTCCAATTTTTTTATCCTTTCCATGGGCGATACAAAATTTTTTATTTTTGCTTCTTTTGAGGAAACTCTCTATGTTGCTCTAAAATTCACGTTGTATATATATTTTTGTGACTATCTTGAAAACCAAATCTATGACCAAAGAAACTTAATTCTCTTGCGCTAATAATAAATATTCTTGCGAAATATTATTATTACATCATTATTAAGAATCTCCGAAAAGTTGGAATACTAGTGTACTTACACTTTCAACATTTTTGCATATGAAAAAATAGGAAATTATATATTATAGTGAATCTTTATAATTATTCAATATAATATTCATTACTGACCAAAGAATAAATTATTTTACAAAATTCTAGAATACCGTAATTCAATAATTTTCTACTATTTGACAATTGAAAATTAATGTAATTTGATTGCAAGCATTATTGTTTACACTTATCGAGCTTCATAGTTATTCACTCCAACTGTGCATTTACTCATTTTCATAAGCCCAGCACCGTGCGACCTAATTCTTCGATGATGAAGGTAGCATCCGATAGATTAACCGATAGCGACGTTGTGCAACGTTCTATTTGGGAAGTCAAACACGCACCTGGGACTGATGTCGGGCGCACCGATTGATTTCACTCTGCGAATACGTCATTGCCAAAATATGTATGCCGGGGCACGTAGTTTCAATAGCACGTCTAGACAATCGGTCGCTAGACAGATGGACGTTTTAAGGCGTCTAGGCGCTTAGATAGTTACATTACATATTTAAAGGTCTAAGGTGCGGACAAGGCGCGCATTTCCGTCAGAGGGAGGATCTCAGTTTACAGAGCCCCGGGAAAGAATTTTTCTAATTAAGCCCATCCCTCGAGAAAGGTCCCGCGACTGTCGGCCTAATAAATTATTTATGAAGCTAATCTGTAGTCGCGGCATGCGGAGTTTTTGCGGTGAACTATACAGGTTTGCGGATGTCGTGAAACGGCACTTTTCTCCTGGGAGAGAGTACCGGGGAAGAATACAAAGCGAAAAGTGAATATCGAATTTAGTACGTGCGTGGTCGATTTGCAGCACGGCGCAGTTTCGGTCGCGTTTCACGTTCTGACGTGTGCAAACGCACTGTGTGCGCGATTTGTATTACTACATTTACTTTACGTTTTACGGGAATAGACGCGAAGTTCTTCAAAGAAGAGTGTTGTGTCTCTCCAATTCTGTAAAATTTCCGCATATTTCCTTTCGCAATCGTCAAACCTTTGAATACCGATTTTGTGAAAGCTTATTGAGATCTCTTCAAGTTTATTTTAAATTAATGGACTGAGACCTTTTTTTTATTTAAGATATTAAGTTTGACATTATACGTTTATTTTTCTACTTCTCCTAATTGCACATTATTGGATGTTCTGATATACATTTGAGAGAGAAATAAAATCTAAATCAATGTAAAAAAATTCCACGCTAATATTGTCAGAAAAGTAGAAAATACTTTGTAATTTCTGCAATTACCTTTTTATCTATATTAATACCAACTATTATATTCAGTATTTAATATAAAATTAAATTTAATACAATTAAATTTCAATTAAAATTTTATGTAATTTAATTTTATATTATATGCAAATTATATTAAATTATGTATTGAATTTTTCTATTAACTTTAATAGAAAATTGAATTTTATTAAATTATACTGAATATATTAAATGAAATGTTATAATTGCACGTGACTCGCTCGAGCACGCATCAGGATTACATCAACTGTGAATAACGTATTTATTTCACGGAATGCAATTTAGGGGATGGCATAAAGAGTGAACTTTGTCCCAACAAGCTGTCTATACCTCCGACACGGAAGCGTCTCTTATTAGAGCGCGGGCTGAACTTCCATTTCCATGCTAATCTCCTTGCACAAATGGCCTGTCAGTTTCCAGCGGGACTTGTACTTGCGAGACGCGATGGCACGTCTCCGCACAAACAGCGCGCCGAGCATCGCCGCCCTAAGCGGGGAGCGTCGAAAAAATATTGGAAATACCTCGCGGCGCGGTCTCCGCGAAACCCGGTGAAATTTCGCGCCTGCTTCACGTCTGCTTGCGAAAGCTCGCTCTTACTCTCCGGACACTTTCTACGTCGATTACCGAATTGCGTCGCGTGTCATCTCCCACCGGTCGGTCCCACCGATGGGATCTGCTCGGCGATGGGTTTAGCGTGTTTAGACTTATTGCTAGATTTTAAGTCCGTGTTTGCAGAAAAATGCTCCTTTTAAAAATGAAAATTTACACCTGATTACCTTACGCTTAACTTTAAAACGCAAGAAAATTTGATATAATCCCAAATCGTTAATTAATTTAATTTACGAAGTGAAAAACGAGAGCAGAGGATGAAAGCGTGAAATGCAGGATAAACATGATAGTGGAGAACGCGGCTAAGAGGCGATATTTTCCAGGAGAGAAATTGACCACTAATCGATATTAATTAAGAAGTATCGTGCAATTAGCTTATTGATTAATTATTGCGAAATTGCATTGCAAAGCCATTAGCGTGAAGCACAGGAATGTAGAAGAGAGCCTCATTATTCCTGCACTCGTTATTTCTTCATTAGCGCGAGTTTTTATGCTTCTTCTCGATATTATTACGTCTTCGCCGCCGTCACGCGAACATTCACGCCAGATTTCATCGCAACTAGATGTATCCATAATGTCGTAATGTTTAAATACGCCGGCTACATGTCGACGATCGGCTCTGCCTGGATCGTCGCCCCGTGCGCTACGGATTATGATCGCGGCGACGCGATCGGGATTCCATTGTCATTCGCCCGTCGTCGATCGCATTTCGCGCGTGTGTGGCCGCGTGCGTGCCAATGATTACGCGTACATGTCAGATCGCAGCGTAACGAGTCCCGCAATTGCGTGCGACAGAAGCACGTGTACCCACCGCTGAAAGGCGGGCCACGTGGGGCACACACTACGAAGGAGGAATGGAAAATTCGTTGCGCAGTCTCTCGCTTTCTCCCTGTCTCCTCCGCGCCTCTCTCTCTCTCTCTCTCTCTCTTTTCCCCTCCCTCCCTCTCTCTCTTCTTCCATCTCCGTCTTCCCATTCTTTCCTCCGCCTGCTCTACTTGTTGCAGCCGACAATAGTGTGCATTATCTGCCCGTCACGTCGCGGGGTTGATAAATCGAAGCGACGTCCGCGTCATGTCCCTATTACCGCTCCGCTTTCTTTCGCTCTCTTCCTCGAACTCGCCTCCGCGGATCTGCCAAGTTCAGTCTATATAAGTCCCATCCGGAGATCTAGATCGCCTAGTAATGTATCTTTCATGACAGTTTTCCAAGCGGGGGGGAAAACCTCGAACAGGTTCCCGGAGAAACCATTGCGATTGCAAACCATCGCGAGCGTCGGACACGGTGCTTTATGAGAGAAGGTGCATATTAAAACGGATATCGTGACTGGTTTCCTTCATTTCCCGATGATTACATCTGGTCTTTCTATGGAAAATTGGTGTTTTGAAAAGAAATATGAACTTCAAAACAATTAGCACGGAGGGAAACGAGATTGCAGCAACGCTCTGGGTGTATCGAAGGTAGATATTTTTTCGAGCAAGGTGATTACACCAAGGCTGAAGAGATTCATGAAACTTCCACTCCGCTGCGGTACAGGGCTAAGCGGTCGCTATATCGCGATGTGTGCAACAATGCTTCCCGGGTGTCACAATAGGTTTAATCGTCCCAAACTCGATGTTAAGCCGCCCGTTCTCGGCGCCGTGGTAGGGGAGGCGGCTTCGAAATTGCGCTTATACCCGGCCGCAAAAGAGCGGCGAAGTAGGCAAGTCGGTATAAAATCGGACGATTCCCCGATCAAAGTCACAGTATTCGGGCCTGTCCTCGCAGTGTATCGTCACCGTGATCCCTACGTGCATTATCATACTGAGTCGCTAGGTAAAAACCGCCGAAACCGGTTCCTTGGCATTAAACAGGATCCTGGGGAAAGCCGAAAGCGTATATTTTCCTTCTCGATCGCGAATCCGATCGCGGCGGTAAGAGATGAGACACGAAACGCGCAGGCAGACGAAATGAGTTTATGCTTTAATAAAATTATCGTTGAAGCGTCACACCCGAAGTGACGTGTCGTGTAAATCGTTAACAATCCGATTAGAAATTATCTTGGGTCAAATTTTTTTAATTTCCAAGTCAAAATGAATATGAAAATTAAATTCTTTCACGTAATATGTGCGCGATCACTTTGTATCCGTGCTGGTAGTTGAGTAAAAAGTTTTGATACTATCGTAGATTTGTGGTAGGTATTTGCGCGAATGCTCGTATATCGCCCGAAGAAATTGATGGTAAATGCAACACCGATACAAAGTATTTGTTTTCCGTGGACAGAGATGCATCGCGCTATTGTCGCCATCATCGCCGTCGTCTGTTGTTCCCTCGCGTTGAGAGCAACGGCGGAAGAGGCTGTCCAACAGAATCAACAATCGCTGGACCTCGGAAACGTCGCTATTGAAGATCAGGTCGATGGCGGCGCGATACACACCAGGGAAAAGAGAACGCTGTTCTTGAAAAAGAAGCTGCTCGGCGCTGGCCTTCTTGGTTTCGGTCTTGGCGTCGCGAAGGGGTAACGCAAACTTACAATCTATTTCTTTTCTCAAAATTTGTAATCTATGTTTCTCTTTTCACGCTTTTTTTTAAGTTGCATCCGTTTGATTTTCCTTTCATTATCGTTATCGATTATTAACGAAGATTCCACTTTTGCGAATATCAGTAAGATACGCGTTTCAATAATATGTTTCAATAGTGTATTACATATAATCTATCTCAGTAATATATAGAAATGCTATTCAAATTCCAGCAAACGCCAATTCGTAGTTACATAACATTAAACTATAATTTCAATAATATAAAGGTAACATAATATATGTTGCACGTGACAGTTATATTATTGAATAGAAAATTATAATATTGATTTTACACAACTGTTAGTCGGTGTTGACCTGGGATTATAATCTAGCCACGCGATCAATGTGGTCTCATTATTCTCTTTGTGAGATGCTAAAATCCGCCGTTGATTTACCGATAAAATTATAACGAGCACGTCAGAGATCAGTGTGTGCTTTATCTTTCTCCACAATTCAAATGTCTCCTTTTAAATATTTTATTTTACTTTCAGTTACAAGGCTGGCTACTATAGCGCGCCGGAAGTGCATCACGTCTACCTTTCGCCACCAGTGAAATATGTGGAATACGTCGAGAAACCAGTTTATATCGAGAGAATTGTCCCAAAACCTATTTACAAACCGCACGCCGAGTACGGTGCGCCAGTCTGGTCGCAACCAGACCCATCCTACGGGTGAGGAAAACCGGTCGCTAATCTCTTCCGTCCTTTCTAATAATTAGTTCCTCCAAAATACGATCCCCTTTTATTGCAGTTAGATTTATATCCCCATTTATTTAGAAAATGTATAACAGCGATTGGAAAAAGTCAATCAAAGTTGTTACCGCGTGCGCACAAACGGATATTAAAAACATAACTTAAATGAAATGCTCATTACTGTTATTGGAAGAACGGTTATTCTTAGAGATCCACTACTTGCTGAATCGCTCTAATGTTCCTTTGATTTTCCTTTACAGTGGCTGGTAAATCCCAAGTGCAGTTCGCATTACTAACAGCGTACCATAGTCTGATCTCCTTGCTTTACCTCGAAATTCCAGGAACAGCCAATAATTGCGCGTGCATCATGTTGAGTCTCAGTCAGGTCACCCAACTTTAAGTATAAGGACGACAATAAGATTATCTTAGCGGTAGTAATCAAAGAGGTTGTTATTTTTGTTACCGGTGTTACAGATTAATAAATCACGACCTGTAAATATCGTAAGCGTATTTGTTATTAAAATTATTTACTTCTCCTATTGCTGTTAAAAACAAAACACCTTTTCAGTGACAATCCACTAGTTGACATTTAGGGAGTAGACATTAGAAAATCGCACAAGGCTCATGTCCCGACGGTAAATCATTAAAGGGAGAGGAGTTATGCACGGAACAGGCGCAAAACGAACAGATTTACGGCCGTATGATTATCTTTATTGCCGAAGATGTTACCGAGTAACATTGAAGTATTAATAACGAGTATATAATCGCACACGATGCGTCTGAAATATACAAATATCCAACCGTCGCCATCGATTACTATGCTATGTATTTAGATATTCTTCCGATAACATCTTTTTAACATGTAACATTCATACGTGTACAGTTAAGTTCTCTTCTATTCACACAGCGTAGCGTAGCGAATATTCCGCAATTTTAAGTATTCAACAGAGAAATGTAAGCCCGTACTGATCTGTAAATATGTGCCTTAGTATTGGAACGTATGAGAATACACGATTTGTCCCCCGAGAACCGATTTCAACCATTTGCGATGGTTGCAGATTTTTCTAGCGTGCTCCAGAAAAGTCAATCAGTGAATTGTCACTGAAAACAGCGAATAGTCACTGATTTACAGTTATAAGTATACCGCTGTGATTTTTAGTGATATACTTACAACTGCAAATCAGTGACTATTCACTGTTCTCGGTGATAATCCACTGATTGACTTTTAGAGAGTGTTGATCTCTTACAAAAGAATTTTATTTGTCATATTAAATAGATAAACGAAACAGTTGTCTTGTCTCTTATTAAGAAATTATAGTATGTAAAAAAATAGAAAACATAGAAACACTCTGAGCATTCCAGTGTCACTTAATTATCTGTGAGTGGGCATTTAATGCATATTTGCTACGCCACAAATGATAACAAGTTATCATTGCGATAAACTGATAGACAAGCATCCTTGTGAAAAACGTATTAACCCTTTGCGCTCCCCCTATTTTGTGCTCTTGTTTCTTGTTTGGTTTTAATAGTTTCATTATTCTTAATCGTTTATTTGTTTACATAATAATGAACAAGTGGAATTAAATGGTACGCTAGATAGCTTAAAATTCTCGAAGAAGATACAGTAAACGGTAAGAGTACCTGCTCTTTGGTAATTAGCGACTTTAATAAAAACGATTAGAATTTTGATTGATCCTTTAACTCTTCATTATTATCAATATAGCATTTAACTCATTATTGGTATTTAAGCTTCTTACCGGGTCTTTTATTATACATATATTACACATAGGGAGACATCATTGAACTTTTCAAAAGCGGAAGCAGTTGGAAGGAAGTGTGTCAATGTTAAAAAAATTTTCAGTGGAAAATAAGTAAGTATCGAGCGAGGGCTGTGAAAAGGAAATGAAGACCGGGCAGCGAAGAGAAGTCAATCGAGTGTCTCGAGAAATTATACAGTCCGTTTGTAGTTTGTATGCATTTCGAGGATGCCTGTCGCACGGAACGCGAATCTCGCTTCGAGAGGTACAAGCTACTTATATACCTATTTATATCTCTAACATTAGTGGACTACGTGACTACACGAATTACATCGAGGTACGTATATCCGTTGAGTACGTGGGCCCTGCCACGTGTACGCGTGTTGCGCACGTGTCCTCGAGCTATGGAATATTCACGAATCCGATCTTTTTACTTGCGAGAGTATCGCGCGAAACTCCCGAGAGTTCTTTCTCTCGATACCCTTACGAAAAAGTAACGAAATAATTATATACTAGAAAATTTTTTTATTACTTTTTTTTAAATTAAAATTATTACTTTTTATTTTTTATTAAAATTATTACTGTACCTACTCTCCAAAAATCCATCGGTGGATTATCACTGAAAACAGTGAACAGTCACTGATTTACAGTTGCGAGTACACCACTGAAAATCGCAGCGACCATTCACTGTTTTCAGTGATAATCCACTGATTGACTTTTAGAGAGTACACCGGTAATTGAACTATCAGAAATTACTGTTGTAATTTTCTAATAATTATTTCGTTGCTTTTCCGTAAGGGTACGGACAGCCGTCGGAAATGATCGGATAACTATATTGTTACGGTGACGTTAAAAAATGCGATTATATTCCTTAACGATTGTCGTCCGGATTAGCGCCGACTGCGTCGGGGCTGATTTAGAAAAGGTCGGAATAGTATTCTACCGAATAAACAAGGGCGCTCGTCGAGAGGCTAGTCAGACTCGACGAGCGTGTTTGATTCGAGACTCATATAAATACCGCGGAGTGAAAGGGGATTCCTTTGCCGCCCGAGGAATCCTCTTTTGATTTCGGGAGAATGCTTTGTAAACTGGTTTGTCACCACGATAATTAATATTCGCGAGGGGTATACGCCACGTGCCTCGCTCCTTTTCTGCACACTTAATTATTGTACATGGGATACAGTCAAAGGTTTTAATCAACATCGTATACGTTATTTGGTATTTGTCGTTATGGGTACAGAATTATTGAGATCGCCACGTAAAGCGGCGCTGAGAGATAACGCTAGGTTGAATCTCGAGATAGGCAAGCAGACATAGTGTCGCGATGATCTCGTTCAAAGAATTTAGGAAAATACCGCCACAGCGCTCGCAGTCGAATTTTTTCACGTTCGAAAGGTGAAATGAGCTATTATCGCTAGATGTAAAACTAAGTCTAAGTTAGACGGAGCTAAAGACGTCGAACGTTGGTAGGTGAAGATGGACGTGGATGCGAAGTACTAATAACAATTTTACATAATTATTATAAAACGATATATGCGACACGTGCAAAAATATAAGTTTATAAATGGACATCGACGTTAGGATACAGTTGCTTTAAGAAACGGACGAAAGTTAATGCATACCCTTGGGAAAATATACTTTATAGAAAATTTTACTTGAGAAAAATAAGAAATATAAAAAGTAAATTTGGACACTTTAAACTTTTATTTAAGGCAAACTTGAAACTTACTTTAAGAATTGTGAAAAGTGTGTGATATAATTTATAATACCGCGTGCGGTTTCCTTCTCGCGAGAAAGCGCTGTGCCGCGCGGCCCTCCAGCGGGAACTTCGACAGGGGTTTGGTTATCTAAAAATTACTTTACCTAAAATTACTCTAAAATTTCTTAAGTAGACTTTCAACTTCTTTAAGTAAACTCTTAGATGTGAAAGATTATTTTTAAAAACTTCAATTTCATTTGAAGTAAATTTTCCCAAGGGTAAGCGACGCGACGTTCCAGGTAGAGCCTGTAAATATTAAGAATACCATAAGTTGCATTATCGGGATACTTCCCGTATGTTAAATTCAACTACGGAACTAAAGTGGCCAATCATCCGTTTTCGAACTCGTACTCGGATATATTTCGAGTGCAAAACATGAACCTGTTTTATAGCTCCGCCTTGGAGAAACTAGTTAGCGGAATAATCCGATTCCGGCGCGATTGTTAGAAGCGATACCAAAGAGACGAGTGATTAGCGCAATGAAGATTGTCGTCCGCGATAAGAGGGTGCTTTCCTATCTTTCCCATTATCAGCCGTTTGTGACTGAGGAACGTATTCATCGTCTCGTCGGGAAAAACTAATTTTCTTAATCATTTTGCTTTTGTTTAACTTACTACTGCAATTTGTATTCTTTAAACGACGTTAAATCGACCGTGACAAAGTAGACCTCGACTATACATTGGAGAAAAGGGTTTAAAAGCTTATTACTTATGATATCTTCATCCACGACTTTTTCTCTCTCTTATGTTAAACATTACACATTTTTTATGTATCGTTGGCACATTTCTAAGAAGAGTGCAAATTGACTCGACGCATAAATATTTCGAAATGGTGTGTTATGTAAAATAAAATATTTTTTAAACACAGTCGCAGTCTAAAAAAGTTTTTGGACACCTACAAACGCTTATATGATGTAAAATAATAAATATCTGTATAAATGTAGCTTCCCAAACTTATACATACTGATAAACAAGGATTTTATAAAAATTTATAAGGTAGGCGACATTAGGTGCCATTTCTTCAAACTCCCGATTTTGCCGGTTTTGTTTCTTTTCAATGTGGATTAAAAGTCTTTAGATTTTAACCGTTCTAATCGATTGTACATGAAACAGAAATGTTTCCTCTTTCATTTGAGACGAAATACAGACGAAATACAGACGAAAATGTAAATTACCCTTCAATTGAAAACGATTTGAATTTTGATAGGCGATATAAGGTACCTTAGGGGTGTTTTCTAATATTTATATAATTATAAGAAAATATCTGTTTCACAAATCGATGCGGCTGCATATCGAAGAAACGTTAAAAAGAAAAATATAACGACTCGGTAAAACAGTGCAATTAACAATAACATATTAATATTATAATTTCCCATTCAACAATATGTTGTGTAATTTAACGCATGTTGCACATAACGCTTACATTTATTGCGAATAGAAAGTTCTAACATTAATATAATATTACTGTTAGCCGGTGTTTACTGGCAAGCATTTCACTTTAACATTTGCAGCCGAATTGTTTCGTACGCTATGTGGTCAAACGGCAATTTAAAAGTCGCATTCAAATCGCGGTGTAAAAATCAGTGAACAATTGCCACGGAAAAAAACATTTAGCTGCTGTAGCTAAAATTTAGTAAAATATGGACAGCAAACCGTTTGCTGTCGTAGCAAAATATTGAGCTATCACAACTAAAAATATTAGCTGTCCATATTTTACTAAATTTTAGCTACAGCAGCTAAATGTTTTTTTCCGTGTGGTAATAGCGAATTCGGCAGCTTGCACTAGTGCGCACCGAGTGCGCACTAAGGCTTGTCTTGAGTCAATTCTTATATTTGAGGATCCCCTTTAATACTTTTTGAAATACTTCTTAGCCAGTAAAATGATCCGTATAGCGTTCGTACGGATCATTGCTAGATAGTTTTCGAACGTATGCTTAAGATGGCCACAAATATAACAGTAGACCCTGAAGAAGCCTTGGTGTGCACTCAGTGCGCACTAGTGCAAGCTGCCGAGTTCGCTATACGTTTATCGAGCGACTGTACTCTTGTCTCAATAATAAAATATACGTCCCTTAGCCACAGCTTCGCCGGGAGACCGATCGAAGTCTCGTCCATTATGATCACTTCGCGATCTCCGGATGTTTACGTCGCACTCCGTCATCCGTGTGCTTGGCGTGACATTACCAGCGTTTACGATCATAAAGTAAGAACCTGTGCCGCATAGCGATCGCACTTGGCGCGAGAACGTGTAAGAAAGTTCTTCTGATCGCCAGTCAATCGTTTCTCATGTCACTCGTGACTCGCCGCAAGATTGATTCTCGCTCGTCGACCGCAAGAGATTTTCTAAAATGATGAATTAAGAAAGCCAGCTGGATAACCCCGCCCTGCCATTATCCTTGCGATTATACTGGCCTCAGAGAATCTTAACACGAATGGTTCAAAGATACTGTCACTATCTGAGCCATGATCTTACAATGATTTACAGATTGTCGCAAAACTATCGTCACTAATCACAATTGGTAATTTGTTTAAGTGACTAGGCTTTAAGTTAGAAGTAAATTGTATTTTCTTATCAAATTTTAAGCTAATTATTTAATAGAATTTGATACAAAGATAGATCATACAGATAATTAGTAATAAATATTAATTATTATTCGGCGGGAAGAAATTTATTCAATTTGTTTAAGGAATCGGCAATTGAAGAAAATCGAAAAATACTTTTCAAGTGCTGAAATTTCTAAAATAAGACATTGGGAAAAATATAGAATTTGTAGAAGAATATAATTGTTGTACTATCTGCTTGCGCGTGTAAACTTTATTCAATTGTCAGTTGGATTGAGTCTTTGTTAACGATTGAAGCATTTGTCTACTTTTCGCGCACAATGCCCACGGTTTAAGAGGCTGCGTTTCGTGAAGTTATCACTCGTTATTACAAAACCCGCATGCAACAGAGGACCGAGTGTTCCTTCGGTCCTCGTGGAACTGTTAGGCCGGAAATAACAACAATGTCAGTCACATCTATATTTACGTACCTGCTGACCGATGAAGTACTTCTCTGCTGCCATAATCGCGAGATGACAATTAAATACATTCTACGTAACTTTCTTTCTGGATTGACATCATAGCCCATCGATCGCACATCGTGAGTTTCGACCGAAATATTGCAATTATTACATAAAGACTGTACATGTACGAGCAATATATTCAACTTCTTTCGCGAGAAATAATCTTTTTATCGAGATACATTCAACAAAAAATTATAAACGATTAATCAGTTAAACGTTTCTCCTTTCGTATTCAACTTGCTATCTGTCTTGCCTCTGTTAATAGCCTTAATATCCACGTTAAGTTTATGGAGCTGGAACTTTCTTATCTTCCGCGCGAGACGCGTGGAAGTGATTTTGTAACATTAAAATTTTCACTCAGTAATATCAACTTGAGATCTTCGCTTTACAGGTAGGTACATCTAGCAAAAGTATACCATCGTTTACGACTATAGTCAAGTTAATCGTGGGAGGGGGGACAATGTTTAATTCTTGCGAGGTAAAAAACGACCGCTCTTACGCGGTGCTGTGAAAAACTCTGAAAACGAGAGTGAGAGGTACGTTACTCGTTTAAGATTTTGACGTTCTACTAAAGGAAGTGAGTCAAGTTATATCTAGTACAAATTGAGGCGTAGAAATTTAATGGGACCTCTTGGTTACCCGAAGCATTCAGATTTCTGAATGCCATTTAAACGTTCGACAGATATCTAAGAGCGCCCGTTAAATATCTGTGCTGTCGGGGGTGCCGATGGTTCGGCATCGAAGATAGGAGACAGCGTCGTTGAGTTATCGATGAAACGTTGATTTATGTAAGATTGCCAGGTACAGACACGTCGGAGGAAGGAGCGGATTGCCCGTAAATCCTAGCGGGTTTTTCTTTGCACCAACGATTATTCGTAAATTTACAACACGCGCCTAAACCATTAAATCTCTAACTGCACGAATTGCGTTCGTTCCGATCCCCTGTCCGCGGGTATTATCGCTTATCAGACACCGATACAATGTACATTCACAACGACAAGAATACAGACGGAGCAGCAATCGTTTACCGCGTCTTCAAAGATACCGATTCTCTGTGATAAAATATTGCGATCGGGCTTTCGATCCGACGTCTCTCTCTCGGCGGTGATCGTCGAGAATCGGTGCCGGCGTCGATTAACTTCCAATCACGGCTTAACCGAGATCTCTCGTTTTTTTTCTCGTTTGCCAGAAGTGGAATTACACGTGAAACTGCGGTTCGCGTATCTCTCGTGTCTCTTTAACACGGCGTTTTAACATCGTGACAGCGATTCTTGGCGTAAATCGCTCGCTGCTCGAAACGCGACACGTGTCGACACGCGTATATCGCGTTCGATCTTCCGCTCGTAAAACTTTTCTCGACGGGGATTTTAACGTAACGATAGGGACTCGACGGAGAGGGATACGGAAGCGGCGTGACGGTAATTCTGTGGGAGGGGCTTAGGGGTTGCCGGTGGCACTTCCTCGATTCTCTCCAAGTCATTGGCCGCGCCCGCGCTATTTTGCTTGTAGAGACGAGGAGTCGATCGCGGCTGGGACTGCTCTGGGATTATAGACACCGGCTCGTCCGGACGATCCAGGCTGAACTGCCTCTTGAGCATTCGGTACCCGGGGCTCTTCCCTGAAATCAGAGAAGGTAATACGACCCGTTAGGTACAAAGGATTAATCCAATGCGAGGGGTTCTATATATTTTTGGGAATACTTAAATAATCCGATATCTCCCTAGTAAAACGTAACAATCCAAAATGCAGATAAACTGTACATATAAAGGGTGTTCCAGGAGGAAAGGTCAATATTCTGGGAGGTGACAAGTATCGGTCATTTTAAGCAAAAATGTTCACGTGAACATATGCCACGTTCCACACGGTTTCCCAGATAGAGCTACTTGAATGTCTCGCGTATTCGCTTTTCTTCTGTTCACTCTTCACCCAACCCCATAAACAGAAGTCCAATGGGGTCAGGTTTAGAGATCTTGGTGGCCAATTAATGGCGCTGCCGCGACCAATCGACCGATTAGGGAAAGTGACGTTGAGGTGTTGCGTCACAAATCGGGTCTAATGAGGAGGAGCTCCGTCACGCTGAAAGTACGTAACACGCCGTGTAGCCAGAAGAACGTCTTCCAGTAATGCACTTAGCAGAAATTCCACGTAATTTCGTCCCGTCGTACGGTCTTCTAGAATAACGGTATTTGCAAAGTAATTTTGCAACTGTACACATTCAAATAGCTCTATCTCGGAAACAGTGGGGAATGGGACATTCATACGAACATTTCTGCTTAAAATGATACTATATCACCTCTCGGAATATTGACCTTTCCTCCTGGAACACCCTGTATAAAATTTATCTGCATTTAGATTATTACGTTAGCCTAGGAAGATACCGTATACATACACAATCATCTTGTCTACGTGTAACAATTTAATTATTGATGAAACCGAGGTCCGGTATCTTGAAATGTCTGTTTCAACTTGCAGTTGATAAATTTTTAATCCCTAATTCTGAAAACAGACGACGTTCCGCAATCGATCGGACATTGAATTCGATTTTGAACAAGTTACTTCCAGACTTCGGGGTCTTAGAAGCAACCCGGGGCAAAAATCGGTGTCGTACAAGTGCTCAAAAGATGAGCGTAGTAAATATACGTGTAGCACTTAAATCTATCAGAGAGGCGCTCCAAGAGCTGCTTCTTGAAAAACTGTGACTTTGGAGCACGTTGATGATGTACGTCTGTCCGCGACTCGTGAGCTGACTATAATTTCGAGCATTGAGAATATGACGCAGAGAGCATCCAAAAAAACGGCAAGCAACGAAGAAATTGAGCACACGTCGTATTTAACGATGACTCATACAAGGGCTTGTATTCTCGCCTCGGGAAGGGACCGACGTATAGGACTGAAGTTTCCGAATACGTACCGTGATGCTCATTGGGCGACAGACATCTATAATGGTTGTACGGCGTGCTAAGATCGTTCTCGAGGTACCCGGCGAAGCGGCGATGCCTCGGCAGTGGCTGTCGATACGCCGCCGAGCTGGCGATCGACGTGAGCGAGCTGGTGGACGCGCCGAGGATCGCCGCGGTCGGCTCGGCACCGGACACCGAGATCGAGGTCGACACGCCGAGCGAGGCTTGATTGTCGCCGGATGTGCTCTTGGTCACGCCGCCGTGGGCCGCCTCGCTCGTCCTCGCCGCCGTGTCCTGTTTACCCTGCAACACCTCGATGAAGTCGTGGGTGGACTTCAAGGAATAGCTCGTAGGCAGCAACGTGCGCTCGTCGTGCACGGACACGGCGACCCTCCTGGTGCCGGCAGCGGCCTCCTCGAAGGACGCGGCTCGACTGCCGCTGTTGGTGACTCCGCTGCTGACGGAATCCTGGCGGTTCTGGCCGTCGGGGCTGACCTCGACAGGACTCGCCGGCTCCTCGTGCGTCTCGTCCTGCGACGGGATCACCGGCAGCTGCGAACACGCCGAGTCGCTCGGCACTCCGTTCTGGCGATCCAGCATAAGACTTTCGTCGAGCCTTCGGAGAAGTTTGTCAATTAAGAGGAGAACGATGCGAAGGCGCCGGGCGGAACGGTGACTGTAAGCCCACTATCTTTCGTATTTTGAGATATGGAAGGAAAATAAGAGATACACGCCGCGTTTGTGAATGCAATAAATTTGAAATGCAATTTTTATCGCAGCTTTTTACGGTCCTTCAAGGGAAAAGAACTCAAATTTTACGTCATCCCGAAAGTGTTGGCGCATGAAAATTGGTACCGCATGTTTACGTTACTTATATACATCGCTATTTCCCGCCGAACGGTTCATATACGCCGGAATGCCGGATGTGAGAATTTTTCCGAGTAAATTGACATGCGAAACGACGTCTCGATGCCGGCTGGCTCAGATGTTTCGTATGGGTGTTTATTCATAAATGCCGCGCCGTTTTAATCCTAGTATCGTGGAGAACTGACAGAAATTGGAAAGTTACAAAGGTGATTATAGCTGCATCCGAGGAATGATATGATTACATCACTGGAGGGAAGGATTTAACTTTAGGCGGGGAAGGAATAAACTTCAAGTAAGGACGTGAGAAGCAACTTTTAGAGTAATTGACATTTTGACGTAAACGTTTGATGCTGATGGTCCCGAGGGTATGTTTATTCATGCGCTGCGTTTTGCATTCTCATTTTAGTTTACCTTGCTTGTAACAGGCTGATAAAAGTCCGCGATGAATTTTTTATAAAAATTCCTTTTCAAGACAAAAAGGTTTAATGGACTATTATATGGAAAATATTAGACAGACGATGTAAAAATTAATGCCTGAGCTTTCGCCACATCGGTATCCAGCGTGAGAAGATTTATCCACCGTGGAACAACAATATGATCGATTTGAATGTTGAATTATTTATATGCGAATCTACTCACCCATGGTTCTCCCTGAGTGTAGCAGCAGAATGGCAAGAGATAAAAGTATTAAATATCTGGAAATCAAATGGTGCGAATAAAACTATATTAAAAATGCGAGGAGAGCGGGTGAAAATAAACTCAATGTCTTTTAACATATCCGCAAGCACCGTACGTCGGGCGCTTGTAAATACGAAGAAGAGGCGTTCAGTTTACTTCTACCCACGCACCTCGCATTTTTAATGTAGTTTTACTCCATAGTAATAAATCGGGGTGTATTCTTCGGGGAGGGAGGCACTGATTAATTTTCGACGAGAAAAACTAGGGCTAGGACTAGACCAGGATACGAACCTGGGACCTTCCGGGCGGATGCTCTTCCAACTGAGCCATCCAGGCCCACGCTCGAAACTTTTACGAGTTTGCCCACTTTACCGAATAAAAGTACAGTAGATACACATCCGATGAAATGCCGTTGTCGAGGAAATTTGATTGAAAAACGATCATATTTTTCATCGGATATGCAATTTGATTGGACGTACCCGTTTGTTATTATTTAATTGGATTATCCGATTGTATTTAATCGGACATTTTCCTCAGTGTAGGAGTAACATAATAGCAGCGCGACTCCAGAGCGTGGTATCTCAACTCAATGGCTTGGTAGACCACCGTATGGATGCAGAGTGGCCCCCCCCCCCCCGAAGACCCCTCTAGTAAATAAACAAATTCCCACCGTTACCCTGCCTGAACGACAGGTTATTCTCGGAGTGGGAGAATGCGAAACGAGCACGGCCTCCGTGCGAGAACCGACCGATAATAAAATGCAATTGGTTTAATTTATATAATGCATTTTAAACAGTAGTCTCGCTTGTATAAATATGTATTTATATAAATGCATTTCAGTGTATATTTATATAATGCATTTCAGTTATTTAATTTTAAGATCAACTAACTAATTAAATTTCCGCTCAGATTCATTCGAAATTAATTGAAATAGATTGCAGCTCTAACAAAGTTCTGCCACTCTTGTGTGCAAACTGTAACAAGAGTAAAAGAGCTCCTTTTGATTATTTCCACCATCGCGCGTAACATAAAAACTGACTTTCTCGAGTTCTGCGAGACGGCTATTTTTCTAGACTCTGCCGTCTCTGCGGCTGAAAGGTTGCGCGTCAGATCGGAAACACCCTGCATAATATAAGCGTTAATTTTAAGAATACCGAGTCTTTCTGCCCCCGCTTATACGCACGTTACCGAGTAGGTCACTTTTTGCCCAGGGGACGTTGCAAAAGAATAGTTTATGTGCGCGAGAGGAAACTTTACTGTTATATCACTTCCGCGGGTACATCGAATAATTATAAGTAGTAAGATACGAGGTAAAAGTCGGGCGGCTGTTGGGATAAACTTCGGATAGATACGCACACACAGCGCGAACCGGCTGCCGCCGCAGCCCATTGTTACATAATTAAAAACTCTCTCGCGCATTCCTCCGGGCTCTCCGACACTTAATCAAAGGAATACGCGGTAACTTCGTTGATTAAATCCAACCCTTTTCTCCACGAGGACTCGAGCATACCTCGCAGGCTGAAGGTATTCCGGAACTTATTTGGAATCTACCCTTGTCACGTTACATTCCGAAAACCAGGGTAAACGTCCGAAAACGCAATAGAAAAGAGAGAGAGGCGACGTCGAACATGAAAGGGGGGGGAAAACTCGTCGCAATAAATTGAACTTAATAAGACCTGCCGGATGCGCGGCGGGAGTTAAATCACGGCCAAGTACGTTTGCACGACGATCCGGGCGGTAAGCCGTGCGAGCGGTGGGGTAGGACACGCCGGTGGAGGGGGCGGAAATTCAGAAAATGTTCTCGGCGGAACGGCTTACCTAAGGGGTGGCGGCTTGGGGAGCTCCTTGTCGAAGCCCTGCTTGCCGAGCAGCCAGTAGGTCGGCATCTTGCCTTTGCCCTTGACGTCGGTGGGCCCGCGGTATTCGATGTGGTATCCGCCGACCTGCGTCAATCGATCCCTCGTCGCTTGGCTCAGATGGATACGCCACGGCGCCCCGGTCGACTCCATCCTCGAGGCGGTGTTCACGGTGTCGCCGAATAAGCAATAACGCGGCATTGTTAAACCTACCACGCCGGCACAACACGGGCCTGACGAGGGGGAAAAGTGAATTCCTTCCCTTAATATTTTCACCGAGGTACGCGGGAATGCTGTCGCGGAGTTGCCGATAAAAGAAACGACGGCATACCATTCACGATTTGCTATTTCAGCACGGATTTAATCAACGTAAAATATGGAGGCGACATAAATCTCCGCGGGCGAGAGGATCCGATCGGCCATTTACATGTAACCGCTTTTCATCGCGGGCTTCTTAAAATTGATTATAACAGGTTTCATTGATTGAATGTCAATCGATCGAATAAACCGACGGCTTTGATTGCCATTGTGACGAATGTTAGCTTCTTAGCAGCGAAAGGGCAATTGGAAATAAAGTGTTTAGGTGATTTTCTACATTACTTTCAGTCGTCATTAAGCAGAAATTATTTGAATCAGCTAACCCGTGTGAAGACCGATGCGTAGCCTGAGCGGCGTGTCCGGAAGGTGTTTCAACTTAAACTTTCCACTCTGATGTAACAGATCGAGCGCCATGGTGGCAACTTGAGTTGCATGATCGGGTATTCTCACCGGGCAACCGCCTACAACCATGTAGGCGTCCCCGATAGTCTCCACCTGTGCGATATTCAAATATGCATTCTGTAATATCGGATTCCGAAGCGTCTTCTGACAAAAATGTTTTGACGCTACAGAAAAGGCCTGAAGTTCTAGATATTTTCGGAAAAGCAGCAGCTGACTTTTATTCAAGGCATTTATCGGCGTAAAATTATATATTTTTCCTTTCGTAAGACTTTCTCTCGCTGGCATAATTATACAATTTTATCTCTTTGCATAAATAAGATAATGTGTGCAGATGAATTTGTTGTAATACAAAAAATATATCCACGTATGTTATCATACATTGCGATTACCTTGTAAACTGTGTACGCGTTAATCGTGTCGTCAAAGCAGGTGTATAGATCGTTGAGGAGATCAACCACCTGAAAGGGCGTCGAACGCGCGGATATCGTCGTGAAGCCAACGATGTCCGAGAAATAAATAGTGACCTCGCGAAACTCTTCGGGATCGACGGGCATGCCGAGCTTCAGTTTCTCGGCGACCGAACTAGAAACATCGTGCCAAATGCGCTAATTTTTTTCCCCCGGAAACGTTAAGATCGCAAACTTGTAAATTGAGACGATTTTTCAGCGATTTGCGAAAAATTTGCCACGTTTTAATCGTGAAACAAATTGGAGCGAATTATTAAAATGTAATTATCGATGACGTTATCCAACCGCGAAATAAAGGTTTGAAATATTTTTACGTTGTTGTTTACCTAGGTAGCATTCGATTCAGTAATTGCTCGGTCTTTTTCTTCTCCATGTCAAGCTGTTCCGTACGCTCGCGGATAAGTTCCTCCAGATTGTTCGAGTACTTCTCGAGCATTTGAAACATCGTGTCTACGAAGTTTACCTTCCTGAAAATAAAACGTGACGGCTGACGGTCTTTTCGATTACTGTCACAGTACACCTGTTTTGTTAAGCAGGCGACATTTAAAGCTAATTAAAAAAGTTAAATATTTTTTAATTCACGAGAGTCTTTTCCTAAACGTATAAATTATTTAGTTACTTTTTATCGACTTGTGTTGAGGTTTGTACGAAAGGAAATTTGTGGCTGGCACTTATTTAAAAGAAACCCCCGTAATCGGAGCTAAACTGTACAACACTATCGAATTACGATTAGATCCGCGAGAAAGAAACTTCGAAATGGACTTGACTTCCGGCCAATGTTACATCCAATACTTCCGCTCTAGAGGCACAACGCTTCGAGGATTATACGGTTAGCTATCGATTGTACCTCCCGTGATTCAGCTTCTTGAAGAGATCGTGCACGTCGTCAAAGTCGGGCCTCATTTCAGCAGTTTCCGCCCAGCACTGGCGCATGATGTTTATGGCTTCCGGTGGCGCAGCACCCTTGCTGACCGATGGTCTGATCAGGGGCGGTGGCTTCATTACTTTCTCGATTATATCTGCGAGATACATAAAACGCCTGACGTCTTCCTTGATCCTCATACATGGCGAATGTGAAATTCTAGCGTTAGAATTTCAAATCGCCGTTACGAGGTTCCGAAGTTTCGCGCTTGTGTTCCTGGATAATCGGTGCCAGTGCATTAACGTGTAAAGTAAGCACAGGCTTAATCTTCAGCAATTGCAAAATCTGAGTTGTAACTGTGTGTCAATCGTTAATCATTTTATTGGAAAACGATACCGCCCGACGAACTGGCTCGTTCTTATCTCGTTTCTCGTTCACTTAATTATTATATTTTCTCGATCGTATCAATGGTCTCGCGGTAATACGAGTATGGCACGTTTGCGAAGGGACGATTGCAATTGAAATCGTTAGGAATGGCCTAAGAAATAAATTTGTTGCAATTGCGAGTGATTGATGTAAATGCATTTTTCTCAGTCCGCTTAATTATCTCAGGTCTAGAGTCACGTAGGAGAGGAGAATGTTCATGCTGCTTCAAGCGATCGTTAATAAAAGTCGCGCACATTACCTTCCGGAGATAGGGCGAGCATACAAAATGGTTCTCCGCGGACAACGACCTCCTGCATGATAATTCCAAAACTGTAAACATCCCCCGGCTGGGTTCCTCTTTTCCGCAAGTTCAGGGACCTAAGGAGTTCCGGGGCGGTCCACAACAGGTCTGCCCAAGAACAAGCCGACGGTTATTAACGAAATGAATAGCGGCTCGCTTATGTTAATTATCCTAATCCCATTCTCATCCCCGCCCTGCTATAATCCTATCTTCTGGAGTAATGCGAAACCCTGGATTTCAGTTTGAGTATCTTCAATTAGTAAAGCGTGCAGTTTAACTTTTAATTAGTGAAACTTTACAGCTTGAGTAACTTGTACCCCGGCAAAATTTCTAAACAGCGCGCAAACGCACAGGTAATAGCGCCCGGTGAGTATAAAATGCCAACTTTCGTGCAACTCAAAAAGTACGTTTAAAGATAAATTTATAGTAATAATATGATATTCTTCGGGAACTATGGGAGTTGTTATAATCTTTCTTGTTCATCTGGGCTTTAATTAAAATATCCCGTGTTGTAGGAGATCAGGTCGAATGTACGCTGAAGAGGATATAATGAGGCGCAACAGAAGTTGTAGCAAAAGGAAAGTTACCCCGAGCTGTTTTCACTGGCGGCACTATGTTCTGGGCTTCATAAAACGCAGGCAGGCCGTAATCGGTGACTTTCAAGACCCACCTCGCATCGATCACGCAATTCCGCGACGTGAGGTAGCCGTGGGCGCGTATTGGCGTGCTGTGAAGGTATTTCATACCCTGGAGCAAGCAAGCCGTCCAAAATTATCAGAGTTTCAGAGTATACATAGAATCAATTTCAAGTTCGAAACTAACTGCTCAAGGATATCTCATCAAAATTGAGACTTAAAATCCCCGATTAATCCTGCATAATACTTTTAATGTTTCAAAACGAGCGAATGGCATACAATTCACCGTTCGGTTAAAATTTTTACGTTATTCTCGTCGTATCGATGAAAAGTTAAACGGCAAGAGGACGTATACGCGTGTCCTACAAATATTTTTCGATCTCTTCCGGTTTTCTCTGGTTTTTCGATATCTTCTCGGCGACCGCGTGCCGCCGAATATTTAACGTATCGCGCACCAGGTCTTACTCACCCGTACGAGATCGGTGAGCAAGGATAATCTGAAGGACCAGTCGAGTTTAATCTCGTCCTGGACGAGCACGTCCTCCAGGGAGCCCCTCGAGCAGTACTCCGACACTAGACAGGGTCTCGTAGGTTCGTTAAGGCATCCAATCAGAGGATTGAGGTTCTCGTGTCGCAGCCCGTGGATCTGCTCAAAAGTAGAAACGCGGAGGTGGGGAGAAACTCGATCGAAATCTAACTCAGAGGTATGAATAAAAGGATGTGCGCCTTTACCGTGACCAGCACGTCCATGGCCTTGCTCTTCAGTTCGAACGTACCTTGAAAGGGCAGCTCCTTCAATTGAACCAAGTCACCCTACCAGAAATCAGGAGGGATCGTTAACCCGAGCATTGATATGACGTCGCATCCGTCGGATCTTGTAATCTATCGACTTGTGTCGCCCGGGGATAAAAGGGCCGGACGGCGAGACATTTCATTGAAATAAACCGGAGATTAGCTCGCGTCCTGCCTGTTTTAATACTATCTTATCAATCTTCATTAGGGCGCAAGAGGTTCTTATCGGTCCGATCATATTCCGGAACCTACGGTACTTAATCAGCGTCACCGTATAAGGGACACTGACGTCTGCGACGTAAGGCGAAAATGAATATCGATGTGTGTCTCGGAATATATTCTTAGCGCTGTCGGATAATACCGCGCGTCATGTCAAGCAGAAAATTCTCGGAAGTGATCAAGGGTGAAATTGTTTGCAAGGGCGAAGGTATACAATACGTAGGATACCGATAATGCCTTGAAAGCAGATATATATGGGGGTATCCCCGGGTCTTCTTTTTCTCCCGCACTGATTCTCGTTCTATTTTCTTTTTATATAAACGCGGATAGGGGACAAAATTGGACGCTAGAAAACGTTGGCCAACTATTTCTACGCGCTATTGTTCTCTTATCGCGCGTCGTAAATTTATCAGACGAGTTAGTCGAGTTAGTCGAGCCCGGCGTGGATCAACACGGAAACTCGATCAACGGAGATTAAAATCTGGGGCGAAGATAAGGGTTGCGGGAAGGAAGAGGCGTAGCGCGCGAGTCTCACGCGGCCACAGCGAGGTGGATACGAGGTGTATCCCGGCGCGATTGTTAAACTGACCCGGGTGGGTATACTCACGTTATATCTGGCGCGTGGATCCTTGAAGAAGGTGTGCCGCGGTATGTTTCCGCCGCTGGCCTGCAGGTACGGCCTCAGCGAGTTCACGCTTCCGAGTTGCAGCAGATCCGGCTTCTCGACTTCCGGCCCGCCGAACTCCTGCAGCTGCTGCAGCCAGCAGCACAGCATCGCCTCGATGCCCTCGTCTACCTGAGAACACGCGCGCGCCGTGTGCGATAAAGTGCCCCCCCTCCGTCATGAATGTTATTCGACTGGATGCGATGCAAAGTAGTGAGATTGGGTACACAATGTTTACCGGAAAAGCGACGGAAAAGACTCGACCCTGCTACAACCTGAGTCTTTACGCAAAAAAAGGTTGTAAATACGAAAAGGAGAAAAATCGAAGCTAACTAATGTAATACCCTATACGCTTCAACGAGCTATGCAGGAGATACTCACATTGTGTTCGTGCTTTAAGAAATCTCTCTTTAGCGTATATTTTCTCTTTACGATGATTTTAACTTTGCGTATAAATAAATAAATAAATCCTTTCTTCGGGAAAAGATATTCTGGAAGGACGACGTTTATATCATTCTTTTATGCGTGCAGTCACTGAATGGAGTAATCGTAAAAGGGCCTGTAAGCATCACGCTTTAAAACGAGGATTATACGATAACTATTTGTGATGTTTAATGCACTAGCATATAGGGGTGCTTAGAGCCCGCTCGGCGGTTCAATTAAGCCGAGTGAACCGGTGTCACGGTGACATTAGCACTTTTATCGGCTATTTCTACCACGTAGACTGATAATTTAGGAGCTCACACAGCGACCATTCTCCCTCGCGTGAAATATATCCTATCAAGAGCGTAGCAGCCCCTCTCGTAACGCTCCGTTGCGTCATATTAAGAAGAATTTCCACCCCCGCCCCCCCGCGAAAGAAAAGTTTGCCCGCAGTTCTAGCCACGACTCCACAATCCTGACCTGGCGACAGCGAAAAATTGTTTTCGCCATATAGAACGTCGGATTACGGTTTTGTTTCGACGTACAATAAAAAGAAACGACAGAATTTTACAACGTAAACCCCCTCGACGAGTTTTGCGGCGGACATTAATTCCTCTCGCGGCATTCGCGGGGCATTTCACGGAGGATCGGTCAAAGACATTGATAAAAGAAGTAACCAAGTAACTTCATTAATAATGTTAGTAATTCTATGCGAGGATTCTTTAATCCTTTTGGCGACGCTGAAAGGGAAGGATTAAAAGCCCCTGTCATGTCCCGAATGAAATTCCACTCACCGTTCTTGAATCTACTGGAGGCACTTGAGGAAAAACGAAGTCCGACGTCGTTAAAATGATTTTGTACGGACCCTTGGACATCCTTTTCTTAAGCAGCCGCTTCCTGCAATAAATTGTCAACGTATCCGATACAAGGTCCCGACTTATTACGCAAGAATCGCAAGAATCTGAGAACTTTATGAATCGTGCCTGCTTATAAATAAACGCTTCGAGAATCGTGAAACACCTAAGAATGAAATAGCTTTGCGTCAATACCTCCCGTATATTAAATTTCTGACAGCGGGTAATTAATTGCAATCTGTATTAAATCTGTATCGTACCGTTCGTCTACAATGCCTCCTATTTATCAAATACTTAACATTCATCAACGTACTTTGAGGATAAAATTTATTGTGGAACATTTTCGCTTGTCTTTGCTTTCTAATTGTTATTCCAATCAAAATAATGCTAGGCAATTTAAATCAGCTCAATTGAAATTAATTCAGGACACGTTCATGCCAAACTGATGTTAACTCTGAAACTGTGTACAGAGGGAAGTCCTCTATTATGAGATTTA